AGGAATGCAAGGAGCCACAAATTATAGAATTACCTGTTGAAATGTCTAAAAAACTGTTGATAATACTCGCAATTAATTTTGTTTCAAACAGTAAGAAATAAAAATCCCATATAATTAATATAATTAATCGCAACTAATAAATATTGTCGTGGCTTATATACATATGATAATATTCCATAAAATGATAATTAATTTTGTAAATGGGTTGGATTTATATTTGTCATCTCTTGTAGCAATGCATGAATTCAGCTGATTAAAAATCTAGTTTTGTTTAAGGGGTTTGCTTTCTTTGTGGTCTCAGATTCGAATCCTTGGTTGCTCATATGATGACCATTAGAGGTTTACATGGTCGTTAACTTCAGAGCTCGTGGGATTAGTTGTGGTGCGCGTAAACTGGCCCGGACACCCACGTTAATCTAAAAAAAAAAATCTAATTTTGTAATTTAAAAATAATATTATAAATTATTATAATATTTTTTATTATTTTTAATATTAAATTAATTAAAAATTATAATTTTAGATTTTTTTATAAAATATTATAAATTGCTATAATATTTCTCAACTTTTTCTCTTGTTTTTTTTTATTTTTTTTATTATCTTTTTTTTTTTTATTTTTTAATATTAAATTAATTAAAATTTTAATATTATAAATTATAATAATTTTTTTCTCAAAAATATTATAAATTATAAGAATTTTTTTCTATACAATTTTTTCTATAACTTTTTTTATAAACCCATCGCAACACACAGTCCGCAGCATCTCATCTCACGGGCATAACATCTAGGTAACTCTGAAACCAAGCGGGGCTGAAAAAGGGTGGAAGGCCAGAAGATGCTTGCCACCTCAGAATCCAAATTGTTTTTAAAAGTATTTTTTTATTAAAAAATATATCAAAATAATATATTTTTTCTTTTTTAATATTAACACATCAAAACAATATAAAAACATTAAAACAAAATTAAAATTTCATAAATCACGGTATACAGAGCGTTTCCAAACGATCAATCTCCATTTGCGACAGGAGTTGAAGCTTGGTATCTTTTCGGAGAAGTAAACCTTGCCTGCACTGATACTACAATAAACCAAAGGTTCCAGAATTCGAGGAAGGAACTGAAACGTTCCAGCAGTGTATTTGATTATTACATTTAGTAGACCCCAAACATGCAGAGACTATAAAGATACATGTTGTGTATGTACAAGATAAGGTCTAGCCCCAACAGTCTACTCAACCTCTACATACTGAAAGCTGTTTTCTTTTCTTTGAGGTAGCCATCTATCCACCCTTTAATCAGCTTGACTTCTGTTTCTCTCTGTTCTACTAACCAATCAGGATCCTCAGGTGTTGAAGGTCGCAAGTCAATGTGATGGGCACCTGATATGTGGTAAAGAGAAAGAAACTAGATTACTTTTAACACGACAATGCAATCCATGTTTTGACAAAACTGAGATGCAGGTGTTTCCGATTAATAATAGATCAAGTGAAATATCAACATATGATCACCTCCTTGCATTCTTGCTGTGACGATATCGAGTAGAATGTATAGAATTTTAGAATAATACTTCCATAAACCACATACATAGCTTTTAGCTTCTACATAAATGCATTTTTTACAGATATATATGAGCACTGGCAACTCGAATTTTAAAAACTTACTGACAAGTAAACAAGGAGATTGATTTTCACAACATCAACAGACCAAGTTTCTGCATTGATCATGTCTAAAATTTATGAATGTCATCATGTAGACAAATTAGACATTTGAGGCCTCAAAACAATTCTGGAGGGCACCTTAAACCAGCTGTGGAAGAAGGCAGCCAACAAGATCTCGAGTAAAAGAATCTAGAGATATGATGACATAGCAAGTAACTTCACAAGAGACTGCCTATAAGCAGCATTACTAAAGAGGATCTACAAGGCGTAAAATTTATCTGAGGTGTCTATAGTTGTTAGAAAGGTGACCAACAGTCTAGAAAACTAAACCACTAAAACTTCACAAGAGACTGCCTATAAGCAGCACGTCTCTCAGTCATGGCTGACCCAATGTAGCCCATCAAATAATTGAAACTTCTTGAGTGTACTTTTATGTAGTTATCGCATGTTTGTTTTTTCCTTTATATTTTCTCCTGGATTAAGAGAATAGGTAGATAGGATCAGCCGGCCAGGAGCTTATAAGATAAGTTAACATAGGGTTTGAATATCTTTTATCCACCCAACATATTAGCTCAATGGTTATCCATGTTCGATGCATTGGCGCACTTATACTAAATTATTATTCTGCTTATCATAGGAATACGAAGATCCCCAATAAATAGTTCCAATGGATGGCAGAGAATGGAGCCCAAGGTTGTTTTAACATCGAAATATGACTTTTGGGTTAAAAGAATTACCTTCTTCAGTGACAAGGGCAACAACAGTTTCTGATATGTTTTGCAGAACACTGCAAAAATACATAAAAAGACCATTAAAATAGCATGGAATCTATAATTGCAAACCATATATAGCAGCTGCATACCTCCCACCACTCCAGGGATCCAGCAGACCATTTGAGAAAATAATGTTACTTCCAAAAGTTTCCAGGGCAGTTTTGATATCCTTCACGGTACAGGAAAGCATATCAGAATAAAAGAATGACAATGACACAAAGCATTGTTCATGTTACATATGTGAGAAGACAAAGCTATGCACAAGAAAACAAATCATGACATTGCAATATGTCACTGGCCTTCCATCTAATGTCTAACAAGAAGAAATTATATGGGAGCAAAGCATCACAGGATAGCAGTGCATCATATCCACCAATTACAATTATATATTTGTTAGTGACGGTATCCATGTGGCAGAACATACAATGAAGGATTTGCCTTGGAAAATTTAAATGTATCTTAGAGATAAATTCATCAAGGTTGGACGGCTACTACTCGAGAGTGAGGCTGAGTTCCTGCTTCAGGTTAAGGCTGGTCCAATTAGACACTTGTTCTCTAATTTGAAGGTACAACTCTATCTCAGAGGATAAACAATGAGACACAGGTAAGTGTCAGTACATACAGGTCTCATCATAGTTGAAAAGACACATGCCATTGGCATCCTAGCAGTAAGAACTTGCATGCTCTTTTTTACACCTATGGCATGTATCTTTCCTAAAGCAGTAAAATAACTCTACCATATGAGATAACTTGTCTTTTTTCTATTAGTGAGAGAACTATACTATATTGCCACACTTAAATACCCCATGTGTCTGCTGAAATTACTGACATAGCAAGTTCTAGTAGGGCCTAACCTCTTGGAAAGAAAAGAATGAGTAAACATCTCCACACACATGCATAACATTCATAACACACGTATATATTCCAATGCACCTACACATATTTGAAGAATAAAATACATAGAAATTTCACATCTCTCTAAACAAATATGCAGCATGCTGATACTTTTGTATAATCAATTCAAACCCAAAAAAGAAACATTTGCTTCGAAGTCCAACCAACAACATACTTAACAAAGAGAAAAACAAGCAATAACAAGGAAGAAACAGCAGAATGATCCCTTAGGGCCAAAACAGTGAATATTAGGAAACAGATAGTCGTAGCTTATTAGGAATTGATAAATATAAAAAGAAGAGCAATCAGTATTTCTCTTACTTGTCCACCAAATTCCATTGTTATCCATCTAGGCCTTGGAATAACTCCAAATTCCTCCCAGCATCCCTCTTGGTAAGATGAGTAATTAAAGTCATATGTTGAAAACATGCTTGCATCGTGACTGCTAGACATTGGCATAACCATCTCCGTGCAAGCCTATATGGTAGAAAATGAAAAATAATAACATTTAAAAAAAAAAAGAGAATAACATGTCAGCCTAGTGAATGTAAGCATATTCAATCATCACTCAAATTGGGGGGGAAAGGGACAAAAAAACAGGAACTTTTGTAACAACTCTAGACCTGCCAGTTCCAACCATCCAAGCCATGAGGATCATCATCCAGTTCAAAGCAGTGCAATTCCCCAGTATAATTGTAATATATGCTTATTCCTTCAAAAATCCTCTCCAAAATGCTAGTCCCATCAGGACAACCATCAATCCTTTTGCAAACCTAAAGAAAAATATATACAAGATTTTCAAATTCATGACAGAAGAAGAATCTCATAAGAAAGCAGAAAACTGTAAGAAAATCCAAGTAAGATTAATCCATAATGTTCCCGCATTTAATTGCAACAAAATATTATTAGGAGACTAAAAGAACGACAGAAACATTCTAACCTTAGAAAGCCAGCGGTTGATTACCTAGACAAGTTCACTAAATAAAAAGTAACACGGGTCATTATTGTCTAGGAATCATCCACAAAATGTGATATTCCAAACCATACAGAAGCACGGTATGCGCAAAGCTCAAGAACTTGAAGGCTATAAAAGTAAAGATCAAGGAAAGTTACCAAAGTCATGTATGTGTATACAACAAGCACATGATATGAGTAATTTCAAATGAGTAACGAATCCTTGCTAACCTCTCTAATCGGGTATCCAGGCAAAGGCATCATAAAGGAGGACGGATAGGGGTAATCCACCATAGCCAAATAACTATAAGCAGAATCCAACCAGTTGGCTAGATCTTCTGTACTTTTCAATTCCCTGTCAATCGTGAATGAAATTACCAAATAGGGAACTAACTAAAAGCATATGTAGAGGTTGTAATGTTTTGTTACCGGCATAAGTGGAAAGTTTTGGTTAATTGCACAAGACCATTCTTTTTGAGACCCTCAGAAAGCAATGCATCCCATGACTCTTTTATAGTATTAAAGCAACTGGTGCTTTCACGCTGCAAATATGAAACACAAAATTATATTGGTACTGAAAATAGCCGACAAGCAGCCGGAAGCCGCAGCAGCAGCAGACATACCTTAAAATCATTGGACACAATGTTATAAAAGGTTTCGGGCGGCACAATATCTTCGAATTGCAGAATTGGCGCGGATGAAGCAAGTGCACCAATTGCTACGTGAGGATACTTAAGCCGCATCCATGCTGCCAACACTGTTCGGATTCGTTCACGTTCAAAACCTCAATTTATTCTCAAACCCTTCTAAATAAATGAATGAAAAAGGACTAAGACTTACTTCCACCATAAGATCCACCGAACAGCACAACAGGGCACGCCTGAGCAGACAAATTCCTCTTCAAGTCAGTAATCAAAACAGCGAAATCAGCAAGCGCTTGCTCAGCAGTTAAATAAGACAATGTAGAAGCATTCTTATACGCCTCCTCTCTACTTCCGTACGGCATCGACTCCCCATAATACCGGTGCTCCGGAAAAAGAACCATGGCTCCGAACAGAGGAGCAATTTCCCAGACAAACCCAGTATTAACAGCGAACCATTCGATGTCCCCTTCATTTCCACAGTAGAGGAAGATGGGACCCCGCCGCTCTGGACCCGCCCAGTGGTCGGTGTTTATCAGATACCGTTGAGGGAATTTCGGAAGATTTAAGAAGCTGAAGTGGTCTAGTTGTTGGTAAAAGTACTTGCTCTCGTATCTGTACTGTTGCTGTTCTTCTAGTTGGGTTTTGATTGGGTACGAGTGTTTGGAAAGGAAACGTGGGGCCCGTTTGGAGGAGAGATGATTCACTGGCTGTGATGCGAGTGTTTGTGGTGTGAAGATGATGGTGGTGCCAGTGATGATTATGATTATGATCGGCAAGAGAAGAGAACGGGCTGCCATTTGAGACACTGTTGACTGTTGTGGGAAGCTGGAGCGGCGGTGCTGGACATTACTAGCGAGCCAACTATATAAATTGGTCCCTTTAGGTTTTCCAAAGGAACTAAATGGTCCGTTTAGTTTTTAAAAATAATTTTTTGATCCTTTTAATCACAATTAAAAAAGTTGGACTAAACTGAGACCGGGCCAGAGCTGGGTTTCAAAAAAAAAAAAAATGAGGGTGACATGGTTAAAATCTGTTGGCATTTAAAAAAAAATTAGTTTTAATTTTTTTTAAAAAAAATAACCTAACTCGAATTAACTTATTAGTCTCCTTTCATGATGGGTTTAATAGTGATACTTTCCACCTATTTCATGTACTTTTAATAATAAAAATTATACATGTTTTGCAACAAAATAATACAAAATTAAGTATAGTTAAGCTGCTTAAGGACTAATTAATTAGTTTTTAAAACTAAGAGATCATTAATTTGTTTTATAAAACCAGAGGGATTATTTTATAATTTACTCCATTACTAGTAGAATCTACGCATTGTCGTCTTTTCAAGAACTTCATGTTATGAACGACATGTCTTTGAGGAATGGATTGTGGTGTAAGTTATAACTATAAGCTAAGCATGATATAATAAGGGAGAATGGGATGGTGTTTATGGGGGTGGGCTTTGAAGTTTAGAGCCCAATAATAAAAGCTCAACTAACAGTATAAATGTTTGACTAAATCCGGCCCAATCAATCTCCTTTAGCAAGCTTAACATGCAATTAAGATTTGGTGTAATACAGGACCATACGCATGATGGCAAATAAAGCCCAAAAAGAAATCCTATTCTTTTAAAACTCGGACGATTCAGATGAAGGCACTGATTGAACCAGTGTAAATATTATTTTATAAAAATTTAATTTTTTATTAAAAATTTATTTTTATATGTGTTTTGGATTATTTTAATATATTAATTTTAAAAATAATTTTTTAAAAATAAAAAAATTACTTTAATACATTTTGACATAAAAATGCTTTTAAAAACAACCGTAAACAATGAAAAAAATAAAAAAAATTGATTGATTTAATAAAAAATAGCTATTTATCTATTGATTTTTTTATTAAAACAATATTAATTTAGTTTTTTATATAAAAAAATTAATGCACTCTCCCCATCTCATGACCTCAAGCTTTATCTAAGATGAATTTTAAAACTATTATTCTAGTCCTAAATCCATACTTGCTCCAAATTCAATTTGTCCCAACCCTATAAAGTTTATCAATTCAGATTCAAACATTTTTTTACTATTTCTTGATCGTATTATTGTCGATTCTTTTAAATAATTAAAGTCTAGTATTCATATTGCAGGTACTAAAAATGGTATTCATTGGAAGAAATTAGATGGAGAAATTAATAAACATTAATATTTTTCGGTGAGATGTGCATATTAATGTGCCGAACCCAATAAAATGTTGATGAACATTGATGACGATAATTGGTTGATATATATATATATATATATATATGGGATCAAATTGATAATATTTAAAGAATAGACATGTAAGTTTGGAACTAAATCGAGTTTCCTCTAATATTTACATTTATCCATTGTTTACTGCTTTTTTTTTTCTCACATTAGTTTATATTTTTTTTATATCTATAAAGGATAGTTTTGAATAATTTATAAATAAATAAGTCTAAATATAATAATGGATTGTTTATGTAGACGTTAGAATGTTAATATTGCATCATGAAAGTATAATAATGGCTGATAAAAAGTTTTCAACTGAATAGTTTTATACAAATGGAGGGGTCAATTACTATCTAATCCTGAGTCGGGGAAAGGGGAAAAGGGAAAAGGGAAAGGAGATCATGAGCACATGGATGCCTAATCCCTCGCAACTCCAAAGTCAATATATGCTTGCTCGGAGGGGGATAGAATCCTTCCCATGCGGTGATTTGACTAATCTCCAACCCATAATTATGGATTGCTACTCGAAGAAGATGGAGACACTTCAACTTAGGAACGCAATTTGAGATAACAAAAGGTCTTCCATGGCACTATTTTTAACCCTTTATTCAAATAAATAAATTAGTTAATTAATAAATTATGTGAGTATTGCATGGTTTGTGTCTTGATTAAAAATACTTTTCAAGATTTTAATGCTAGCATTTAAGCTAAAGAATTGAAAAGAATAATAAGATTTATCGAGCTCTTTTCATTATTTAAACATGCTTTCCATTGCAAATTATAATTAAAACCGCGGTTTGAGAAAATCTACTCTATATAGCTTTTTTTTAATTTATTTTTTATAAAACTAATAATAAAATCTACCGCAATATATTAAATATATAGTTACGAATCATCTCAAGTTTTTTTTATACATGCAAGGTTTTTTTATATATATAAACGTGTGTGTGTGTGTGGATAGATGGCTAAGCCATGCTCATGACCATGTTGCTTAAATGCGCACCGAGTCACGAGCATGTTCCTCCGCCGACAACAAGCCATTCGCACCCAAACAGAACAATCAGATGGACCCCTGTTGCCGTAGCTTTGTGCCACAGCACAGCAGGCACATTCGGTCTCTCAACTGTTTTTGTCGCTAGCCCCCAACCACCAAGTCACTTCCAGGCCATGTGAACGTCTTCCAAGCCTCCCAGGAGTCCAAGCTCTTGTGGGTCCGCTTGTGGAGTTTCTGAGAAAGTCACCGTGGCTGGGGTGCTGACAGAGAACTGCCATCCGTTAACTACTTTTCAAACGCAAGCAATGATGCTTCTAAGTTGTATCCCAGCAGGCATTGGTGCAAGATTCAAGGAAAGGCTAGCTAGCTCTTGCCTTATTTTATTTTTTAATTTTAGATGTTTTATTTTGTTTATATGAATTTTAATTAATTTTTAAAAGTTTTAAAATTAATGATAGATAAGTTTTAAATAGTTACGAGATTTATAATATTTAAACTAATAATTTTTAAAAAATAAATTAAAAATTTAATCAATTAAGCTAAACTTTCCAAGATTATATTCTTGCCTTATTATCTTAGTGAGAGGATCATGGATGCTTCCCCTCCCCTCCTCTCTTTCCGTCCCTTTTCCCTGAAAAATAAATCAAACTAGGGTGATTGTGTAGTATTACTTTCGAACTAGACTCTTTTTGTCCAATGCAGAATGATTCATCTCCACCTCTCCTTCAGCAAATTAACTCTTTGTCTCTATGAAGATAACCCACTCATAATCTCTCTCTCTTTTCTCTTTCTTTTTTCCTGCTTCTGCACGCACTTTTAGTAATACCATTTTTGGCTAAAATGTTAGCTAAGGTGGGAGCGACTCAAAGAGAAAGCTATGGAGATGTTGAGTGCTCTTCTTATTGGTATGGGTGTGTTCTTGCAAGTAAAGTGTGTTTGAGTAAGAGGTGTAGTGGGCTTTTAAAAAAAATATATAATCTTTTTAAAATATAAATCACATCTTCTAAAAGTAATAATACATACTTTTCATGAAAGAAAACCCATCATACCTCCCATCAAAACATGTTATATCAGTGTTTGTTTTGTTTGAAGCAAGGTGCTTTGTTTTATTTTTTCCACGTACTAAAAAATATGAACATTTAAATTATAAGTAACACGACTTGTGGCATGATTAAATACATATTATTTTATGTAATACCATTCAAAATTTACTAAGTTTTCAAATAATATTATAAAAATATTTTTTTTAATATCAGCAAGTATGATTTTTATACAACTCATTATAATCATTTTTATATATTTTATTCACTTGTGTTAGTGCAAGTATCTATTTTTAGTGTTAGTGCAAGTATCTATTTTTATTCTCATATAATTAAACAAAAATTAATTTTAAAATAATAAAGTTATTAAATTTAGTTGGGTTTATAATCTAAATTATGAATTTGATAAATTAACTCAAATTAATTTATTTTAACATAAAAAATTATCATCTTACTATTAAATTATAAATTATTTTCCGGTTGATCTTCAAGTTGATCTAATGAGCAGTGCTAAAAAATTCTCCATGACAACATGCTTTTTTATTCTTATATTTGTTAATGCCTCACCTCAAAAAAAAAAACTTATTATCTTATTCTAGATGAATATGCATATATACAGTATATAAAATACCCCATGGGTATATATAACACTTTCTTATAAGTTTTTTTTATTTATTTATAAGGACTTTTTTGTATTCAATTTGAATTAATAAAAAAATTACACAAATAGTTAATTAAGCAGAACAGATTAATCAATATATTTGTCTGGGTTGGATAAATACTGTACAAGACAAATTCAATACAAGTAAAATCCAATATAGATTATAAATATATTCGTGAAATCTTGTGAAAAAAGAGTTATTGATTGTAGAAAAATTAACAGTAAAACAAATAAATTGTTTTAAATAATGCATGAAATCTTCACAATAACATTCAAGACACCATTTAAAATAAAAATAAGCTTGTGCTGAGCTGATACGTATTCTTCCACTTGACATAAAAGAGAGCACGAGTAAAAGAATAATAACAATCCAAGGAAATTTCCCAGTATTCTTAATAACTAGCCAAGGTCACGAAAGGTTTCACAAAACCTTATCCTAAAAGAATTCTCTCCTCCATCTCTGCCAACTTCTACGCTCCATAATCATCAAACCCCCACAGAATCAAATGCTCATCATCCCAAATCATTGGTGGGCTCATTTTGTCTACCCACTGACGCACACTCTCTGCACATTTTACTCTTTTCACTGTCGTGTTTTGTTGAAAAATGGAGAGAGCGGCAAGAAAAGCACCACTAGTTTATTCCTCATTCATGCCACTTTTAATGAGTGGATTAGATTTGGAGGCTTGATTAATTAAAGGAGAAGATTAACTTAATGATTCACGTAATTATTCTGATCATACTTGTGTCTTATGCCCCCTTTTTTCCCTTGTAATTATTGCGATATATTCCTTCAGAAAGTGAAATTTGGGGTACATGGCATTCAATTTGTTCTTACACTACTTCTCCTTGTATTGTGTCGACTGTTTCAAAGTCAATGTATATCCACTCGGGTCCAAAGTAGTGGCTTATCTACTTGCTTTCTGCTACACGTCCAAAAGCTTTGAATAATTCATTTCTTTACAATGCTTTTCCAAAACTCCAATGCTCTGTGATATCAACATGTTTTCTTCGCATGAAAGAGGAGTGGAAACAGCGGAGCTAGAGACCTGTGTATATTGGATTAATTAAACTCTAAGATTAGCATTTATAAAAATTTATCATTTTTTAAGAAAATATACAATATTTAATTAAAAATTTAATCTCAATTGATGTACAAGCTAACACAAAAATATCCTTAACGTTGAATAAAAAATATAAAAAAAAACATTGCAATCTAATAGTTTTTAATTAATCCAATAATCATCAACAAGACTTCCAAACGAGTTAATAAGGCATGCTTTATTCTTCAAAAACATTAAACTGTTATTTTCAGACACAGCATGTATGGTTGAGAAACAAGAGCTAATCTGACACATCCCAGCTTTTTGATTGGATGTGGTAGTTTTAAAGTTAAGAAGATGTCCTTTTTAATTTTTCTTTCTTCACGGTTTGATCCTTAGGATTTTAAACCCTTTTTGGCCTTTGATTCCTAACTTTTTCAGTATTACTAGTTTTTGGCACGTGGTTCGCTCATGTATTATACCATTATTTTCTAATTTTATTTTTAACAAAAATTTTAGATTAATATTTATTAATAAATAAATTAAAATATTTTTTAAATTAAAATAATTGATTTTGAAATCTTAATAGTTTCACCCAAGATCTGATGACATTTAACTCTCTCCTTTTTTTTATCATTTTTAAAACATATAGAAATTAATTTTATCTCCAATTATAAAAAGTAGAAACAAAAAATTGAATTGCCTTTCATTATATAATAGTTAGAAGTTGGCATATATGTGTGATAAGAACTTTTAAAAATAACAAGCACAGAAAACTTTGCTAGCTCTCACATGTTTATAAGTACAACAGAAATCAAGATCATATGTAAGGTATCATATTCTTGTAAGAATGTTCTATTATTTTCTTTATAAAAATAAATAAATTAAAAGACGATCTTAATTTCTATAATCTCTAATTAATTTGTAATCATTTTCATGAAATCGAGAGCAAAAGGAGAGAGGGCAAAGGAAAGTACTCTTCTTATCAGAGCACAAACCGTCTGGCTCCATCAACCAAAATGGCCACAAAGCATTGGAGATATCCTAACGAGTCATAACGCATTTCCACGATATAAAAATATTCTCATAGAAGACAGAAAATGATCACCCACTGCTTATTATTAGGCAGCATTCATTTTCTGAACCATTTAATTTTCTGATCCAGTTTCAAACTTGAACGGCTGCTAAATATATATATATATATATATATATATAAAAAATTATGTCTAGCAATCGAATGTGGCCATTATGCTTTGTGGAAACGGATGTACCACACCTCCCTGAAAGATGAATGGTCCAAGGGATGATCGTCCATAAAATATTATAAAGAACAATTTACGAATAATTTAGCCAGCAAATGCTTATTGATTTAGTTACTGTTGCTGTTGATTCTTTCACTTCAATTGTTTCTGTGTAAGTTTCTCATCTCATCTCATTTTGTTTCATGCCTGGCCATGCTCGTTAAACTCTTTGATGGACACGGGTTTAGCACAATTTCAAGATCAATAATAAGATTTTATAATATAATCTATGATCGTAATTCCTTTCAAATATAATAAACTCCAGATCATGTCTTGTTATTAATTAATAAAGATTTTATCCAGCACGCAAAGTAGTGCAGACCATCAATCTAGTTATAAATCCTTAATGCGTAGTTTTTTTTATTGACTCGAAGATCGTCGTCTTTGTCGTTGAAGATATATAAACACTTCAGTCATTTGTTTTTTAAGATTTATCATGTTTTATGGGTGACCTAACTTCTTCTCATCAGGATAGCCGACAGTGCATTATTGGAAGTGCGTGTCCATGTATGCATAGCAAGTAGGTCCCCAAGACGCACAGATCAACTTTCTAGTTAAGCAAAGATCCGGATTCTTGTTGATGAATCATATTCTGCCTCCATTATAACTCTATGAAGCTCCAATTATGTGCCTAAGCACCTACTTTATTTGCTTTTTTTTCCCCTGTTAATTGTTTTTTTTTCCTTTCCACAGTACACAGCAAACCAAGAAACAAACAAGGCGGCAACACCCCGCTCGTGAATATCACGTAACTATAGAGATAGTGCACATCCTTTTCTACCTTCACAATTAGCAACTAGGTAACCACCCACCATCCCCATTGATTAAAATTAAAAAGAAAGCTATTCTAGCAAGCAACATTACATGCATGACGCCCATCTCTAGCTAGTTAAAACGAGGCTTGGAGTGGGAGACATTTCATGTGCTGTGTTTAAAGAAAGGAGATCATTAATGGCCCGTGATGGGCTCCCGATCATATATCTAATTAACTTGATCATCATCAATTTAGATTATGAATAAACCAATCATATAAAAACATGTCATTTTCTTATGTAATCTTATTAGGAAACATAATTTTTTTTTTCTTCTAATAGTAAGAAACAAAACAAAAAATTATATATTTTTTAGATAAAAATGATTTGAAAAATAGATTATTGAATGAAAAAAACATCCCTTGATTTTTTAATCTCCTAATAATTGAATTATAACCAGAAAAATAAGTTTTTGTGTTAAATTTTATATATAATAGGATAATCTATTTTTATTATTTGTAAATGCTTGTTTGGAGTTGTGTTTGCACTGAAATTTTAGTAAATTGTGAATTTTTTTAAAATTAATTATTTTTATACTATGAATTGTTTTGATGTGTTAATATAAAAAAATAGAAAAATATATTATTTTAATGTATTTAAAAAAAAATATTTTAAAAGGTTGATTTTACTTATTTTTCTCAAGTTTTAGCATGAAAAGAAATATCAAAACTTTAACTATTGACCTTTCCCATGACACATTATATAGCATTTCTTTTTTAACCCTCATTATTTTAAAGCAATCTTCGACATGGCTTTTGTTTGTTAGTGGAGAAATTAAGGAACAGAAAAGTAGTAAAGTAAAGCAAAATAGCAAGGCTGCCGGGCATATAATAAATAGGATAGGCGTAAACAAAGCACATAACTTGGCTAATAATTGATGAATGTAAAGGGAAACTACATATGCCAAAAAGCATTGGAAAAGCAAGTGGTAATGGTTAATCTTGGTACGTTAATGGGTGGCGAAGGTCCAAGCGAATCATTCTCTTGATGTGTCGCCCACTAGCATGTGAGCTGCATCCTGTTCTAGAGAGGGAGAGGGAGAGGGAGAGGGAGAGGGAGAGGAGCAATTTCCCTTGTTTGTTTGCTACGATAATGTGAAAGATAATGGGAGTAGTGGGGTTCGTCCAAATGGTCAACCTTTGTATAGAGAGAGATATGGTGTTGCATACTTTCCATGCCCTAAGATTCGTTCCTCTACTCAATTCATTCCTTTGATTAATTATCATAGCCACCTACCTACCCACCCAACTCCCCCCCTTAAACACAAATAAAAAGTCTTCCTCATTCTCTTCCTTTTATTAAGACCCTTTGTCTCCCCATTCCTCTCAAACTTGCTCACCCCTAATTCATCATTTCCTCTTGCTTTTGTATTCCCTTCGTCTTAGAAAGAGCGCTGCTCTTGTTTATAACTCTAATGGGGTGCCTTGATGATGGGTGCAACACTGGCCTTGTTCTTGGGCTAGGCTTCACAACAACAAACCTAGAGAATACATCTAAGCCAGCTGATAACTACAAGCGGCTTATAAAGCCTCAGATTAAGCCACTAATGACAGGTTTTGAGCCTTCACTTAGTTTGGGTCTCTCTGCGGAAACCTATAGCCTTGTGGATGGCAAGAAAGGCTGTGAGGAGTCTATTGGTGCTCATGATCAGTTGTATCGTCAAGCTTCTCCTCATAGTGCTGTTTCTTCTTTCTCTAGTGGTAGGGTTAAGAGGGAAAGAGACCTTAGCAGTGAAGATATAGAGGTAGAGAGGGTTTCTTCCAGAGTAAGTGACGAAGATGAAGATGGTACTAATGCAAGAAAGAAACTTAGACTCACCAAAGAGCAATCTGCCCTTTTGGAGGAAAGCTTCAAACAACACAGCACCCTCAATCCTGTAAGTAATTAGCCTCTTGATCTCTGTTTCAATTTGATATCTGATTTTGTATTTATGTCTCTGATCTAGTGATTAGAGTTTGATCCTTCTTTAATAAATGAACAGAAGCAAAAGCAAGCTTTAGCAAGGCAGTTGAATCTACGTCCGAGACAAGTTGAAGTGTGGTTCCAAAACAGGCGAGCCAGGTAATCAATATCATCTAATTTAACCGTGTAAGAATTGTATAACCCATCAAAATCATCTCCACAAGACGATGCCATGATATCCATAGCAATCCAAAAGCCCCCATAAAATTAAGAAGTTTCCTATCCCTGAAAAGGTTTTTATTTATTTATTTATAGATCAAATTATATACAAGGGGCCGTTGTTAATGATGGCTAGTGATCACGTGCAGGACAAAACTGAAGCAAACTGAAATGGACTGTGAATTCTTGAAGAAGTGCTGTGAAACACTAACAGATGAGAATAGGAGGCTACAGAAGGAGCTACAAGACCTTAAATCACTGAAAATGGCACAACCCTTTTACATGCACATGCCAGCAGCTACTCTTACCATGTGTCCATCTTGTGAAAGAATTGGTGGGGTTGCTGAAGGGGCTTCAAAGAGCCCATTCTCAATGGCTACAAAGCCTCACTTTTATAATTCCTTCACTAATCCTTCGGCGGCATGTTAATGAAGGTTCAGGATATATAGAAGATAAATAAAAATAGAATATATATAGACCAACCTTACAATCCCTCTAATTTTTTTGTTAAGAGCTTGTAGTAAAAGATTACTTAGTGTAATTAATTATTTTGTAGAAGATAGTAGCTGCCGATCGGTCCTCTTTTTCCTTTTTTTTTTTTTTCAATTCATTACATGTTTGTATATTGTTAAGAAAATTATATAAAAAAAAATCTATGAAGGGATGACTATTGTTTATTGAAATGTATGAGTTCCTCACTGACATTGCATCCCTCATCTGTTCTCCGTCAATTTCGCCAGGTTCGATTGGAGGACGGGCAGTCATGACACACATGATGCCAAAACCATCAAAATTTCAGCGTGATCCATTGAATTTTTTATTTTATTTTTACAATGAGGAATTTAGTGAATATTTTTTGGGGCAGCCTATATGAATTTCGAACAAACACATGATCATTCCATCGAATAATCACACACTAATAAATCCGACAAGTTTCTATCGTACTCTCAAAGTCCTCTCAGGGTCATGTTTTTGTGCTTTTTTATTTTTATTTTTAAATTACATAATTTAAAAAAGGGATAGAGATAGAGAGAAACGCCATAAAATTGAGTTCAAATTGAACTTTTCTACAGAAAATGTTCAAACTCTTCCTAAATTATACAAGTAGACAAATTAATTCTATATCAATCCTTTTCAAGCAATCTAATAATTGAATAATCTAATAACAACAACAACAATAAATTACCATGGAAGAGAGTAACGAGTCATGCATGCCCCACAGCCTTGCTTCTTCTTTTTATATACATAAAAACCCCTTGGTTTTGGCAGTTTGCTGGGCAATCTGTGGGGTGTTGTCTGAAAGCAAGAAGAGAGAAATATTAAATGAGGATAATGATAAATCATTTGATGATTAGAATTATACATTATTGGTCATGTGTGTGGGAGCAACCGGAAGACAAGAGAGGTGGGGATAATGGATATGGGCGGTTAGCTCACGTGTACCTGTCTCTAATATATTCAGTTGTGTTAGAAAGCGAGAAAAAGGATCGTCAAAGAGAATGGGTGGTGGCGAGAGGCGTGTAGACAAAGAAAGGAATGGATGATTCATTCCAAGAAATTCAAGGTAACATTACATTTTTAAAAAGCATCGAAGGTCCTCGTACGGTCTTGATGCCCGTGTTTGGTTATTATACCAGCTACGGGTTGACCCGACTGCATTATTGGATTTCAGCTTACATAGATTTACTCGCATTAACCTAAAAAATTAAAAATATAAATATAAATTTTAATATTCAACATGAAAAAATTAAAAAATATTTTAAATAGATATAGGTTATGTATACTATCACATCTCAAAAAATTAAAAAACAACCTATATAAATAGAGGTAAATTATGTATATAATTATCCAACATCTAAGAGTTAATAAATATTCAATGTGGGTATGAATTATATATAAAATTATTTCACTTTAAAAATTTAAATGTAAATAATAAAAAAATATATAAGGCTAGGTATTTATAAACTAATTTTATATTTTTTAAATTTATTAAAAAAATTAAAAAAATCTAATCTCATCTAAGTTATGAGTTTACCCCGCTAATTACAAGTTCAAGTTCTTTTTATTTAATGTATGGCTAAAATTTTAGGTTACATGTTAACCCGTTGTGTCGGGTGAGCCTTGTAACAAAGTATGAATAATATTTTTTTAGTTGGAAATAAATTTTTTTAAAAAATTATTTATATTTGAACTTTAAAATTAAATTATTTAAAAAATTTAAAATAATATTAATTTGATATACTTTAAAGATAAACATTCTTTTAAATAACATAAACAAACAAAAGCTACTGCACCTCATCTGTGAACTCGATCCCGTCGTCGTCATCGTCGTCGTCATCTTGAGGTTGCTACATCTTGGAGGGTACCAGTGGGGCCACATAGCACGTGATGTACCCATGGCACCTTGCTCGTTTTATCTACCATTTTCATCATGGGATTCTGCAATGAATCTCGTGTTATTAGACTCTTCTACTATGCAGGATCGGTTCAAATCCCAAACCCCGTCCAAAAAGTTAGGTACTCCACTTGATCTGAGGCCGGACGGTCCAGATTAACGGGGTTCTTGACAGTAAAAAATATCATGATTGGTGTGGGACATTGCCCATTGAATTGACGAGAGGGTTCCCTTCGATAATTAGATGCCTGAAATCATGGTGTAGCGTGGACCAATGAATGACGAGGTGACTTTCCCGTCGAAGAGGGGCCTTTCCAGGAAACTCACTTCCCCCCCCGTCACTCTCACCACCCGTCTGTATCACTATCTTTGAATCACCGACCGCCATTTGGCGCATCAGTAGTGACGTCATTCCTCCCCTCTCCCCACGCTTGACACTTTAAGGTATCTATGGACAGCATCAATTTACTCTTTAATTAACTCTCAGTTTTTCTCACTAAGCAATCCTAAGAGTCCATTTTCTTAATTAGATAATTATCTACCTTGATTACCAGACCTAACCACTGAGATTATAGGGAATGATATCAGTCAAGATGCTACGGGTTTAGTTTTTAGCATTTAGTTACTTGATTACGACACGTGCAAAAGATTATAAAGTTGTCCTCTTCCTTGCTACACTAACTGGATTAATCCTTTAATTTGACGAGTATTAAGTTCGGCTCCCTTTTTCTTTAACAGTAGTAACTAATGGCCGGTGGCATTTGTAAAAAAATTCATTCCATTGGATTCTGTATTTTTATGAACTCTTCGAAACCCATCTTAAAACTAATTCATTATTTTAATTAATCTTATATACTTACCTATGTTATTGTTGTTAAAATGGACTACAAATAAAAATCTAAGTTAACATGGTATTATCTTTCAAATGCATGACCCTACTCTTATCAATAAAGTGACGAGGAAAGAGATTGAAAAAAAAAATTAATAAAAAAATTAAAAATAAAAAAAATAGTAATAAAAAAAATTAAGACCATATTTGACATAAAACAAAATAAAATAACTCAATTAAGAGAATACTATAAAATATTAAAATATGTAATTTGAAAAAAATTATGGGATGATATAATAAAATATTGAGAGAGGCATTGAAAAGATAATTCTATTAAAAGAGAATTTTAAAAAATATATATAATCAAAGGAATGGAGATTAAATTTAAAAATCAAAGGAGAATTAAATTAAAAGAAAATTTTAATTTTATAAATAATCTAAAATAAAGCAAATAGTAATAAAAAAACAATGATTAAATTTGAAATAAAAATAAATTGAAAGGCAACTTTGAAAATATACAAAGGTCGACTCTAAAATCAAGAAAAACAAATGAAAAATGAAAAAAATAACAATAATTACAAACCTGACATATTTAGGTCACATGCACCGTCCAAGAATAAAGGAGATGTCGTGAAGATTAAAACTTTGTTGTGAAAGTTGGAGTTTGGTCACTAGACAAAAACTACGGGAGAACTTATGCATACTTGCATGCGCAACCATCCTTTTCAAATTAAATAATATTTTATTTATGCAAAACTACTAAACTACCCGGACCATATTTGATGAAAAAAAGGATAAAATAAAATGACAAAAACATCCCTCGACCCAAGATAAAAACAATTTTTTATTTAAGAATTTTATGATAATTTTACTATACAAATAAAATATAAAAAGTCAGAACTAACCCTGATGACCACCAATTCATGTGTGTTTTTTTTATTCATGACATATTAGTTATTTTACTATTTAATAAAAAAAAGATTACTATACCCTGCTTCAAAGGTTATTTGTGTAGTGTTAATAAAAGTAAAAATATCATTCTATTATTTAAATTCATAATATCAATAAATCTATAGCTATAATAAAAATTAAACAATAAAACAACAATCTCTTTTAGTTTTTTTTAATTAATTTGGTGTGCAAGGATGAATATAATTTACTAAAACAAGAGTAATTGTTACTTCCTTCAGTATTTTCTAGCAAGTTTATGTAGTTTTGTCTAAAAGAGCTTATGTTTTTTATCCAATTCAGTGTACCTTTATATATCCTACCATTTATCAATGCTACCCTTTAATAAAAAATAATAATAATAATCAATGTGTCCGTCGGAACCTTTAATTTATTTCAATTCCCTATAATATCCACCGATCAGTTAGTCATGTTAAAATTAATCGTCACATGGACAACATACAATATAAATTAATAAGAATAACCATTTAACTCAATTAAAATTTCTATTTGAGTAAAAAAAACAAATTGTTTAAATACACTGTACATGATAGTTTCAATATATAACCAAGTTTGTCCATATTCAAATCCTTGACACCAAGACAAGAGAAGTTGTGATAGTTTTTTTTTTATTCTTTAAATAATATTAATAATAAAATAAGAGAAGTTGTAACATTTATGATAGAAGTGAGGGTAACAATATATTAATAATGATTATGATAATAATATCCATAATAATGTTGGTAGTGATTATAATAATATGGGTAGTGATTATAATAATGCGGGATGATAGTTGTTGTGATGATATTAATAAAAACATTAGTGGCGGTGATAATTGTTAATAAAAGTGATTATTATTATGGTATTGATTATGAATATAAAAAAATAATGATGAAGTGATGAGTATAGTTATATTGGCGATGATAATGTTGATGTAAAATATTAGTTGTTGTCATATAAGTAATAATAGAGTTGAAGAGTTATGACGAGATGATAATAAAATAAGAATCATGTAATAATAAAATAAAAATTATAATAAAAATTGATGTTAATTGTTATAGTGATAGAGGTTACGGTGTTAATTTTGATTGATGAGTTTATAGAACTAAGAAAAAAATTATTTTTTTCTTGTTTGTAAGGTTAAAAAATATTTTTTAAAATTAGACAAAAAAAGATAGAAAAATACTTCATATTAACTTATTTTTCAATATCTATTTTAATCTAAAAACATCTCTGCATAATAAAATAAAAAAAATTAAGTATGGGATCGCATCATTTACTAACGAATTTGCATGCAGCTGCAAATTAAAAAAAAAATATTACAAAAACAATTTTAATTAGTTTCCTTACAAATTTGTGCCATAATCCTATACTTTCTATGATTTACTACGGTATGTAAAGGACAAAATCATTGTAAAGTCCATCACAAT